ATTGGCCCACTAAACAACCACGGACCACTCACTTTGCCGAGTAGTATATACCATTCAAAATGAAGTATCCCTCCATGTTAGGATGCCCCACCCACGTAGGTGTCTACTAAATGTAGTGTATATATTGTGAAGTCAACTTGTATATTATTCAACGCTGCTTAGGGCTAATATATGATGTAAAAGTTGTAGAAATTCTGCATAAAATTGGAAACTTTTTGGGTGGTTTATAGAATTTTTTTCCTCCGAAAAATATGTTGTGAAACCGTGTTACCCAGCATAATACAGTCAAGTCATGTCAACAACTCCCGTAATTCATGTTTGAAGTTACAGTACAATGTGAATGATTTTGAAAGAGATGTTTGTAACCATTGGATAAATCTATTTGAAATCGTTAAATTAATTTATTAAAGTATGTTATATTTAATATTATAAATTTACAGTTATAGAAATTGTACAGTTTTTGGTGTATTACACAAAGCAAATCTTAAGGATAATTCAAGTTGGTAAAAGAACGAGTTGTAAACGTATTCATCTTGAGGTTGAATTTTGACAATATCTTTTAAGACTAGAACATGAGGAAATTATTTCTTATGAATACCGTAGTTTCGATCCGATGTAAATGGTCTATCTTTAAACGAACCAAAAAATAAATAATTGAGGTACACGTAAACTAATATCCCTAACCATTGAACAAAAAAACTTAGACAAAGCGAAATGGGTTTTTCCCAAAATTTGGACACATCAAAAGTTGTTGTCAGTAACGTAGGGTTTTCCCATACGAGGGCATTCGGTCCACGGCCCGGCTGATTAACTTCAGTGGTCCAGCAAATTTTGGGCTGACCCAGTCTGACTTTTCAATAGATCATTTGCCGGGTTGTTAAACCTGTCAGTCATGACAATTGCCAGCCCACGGCCTGTCTGTTATAAAAATAAAACCAAACTTTTTAATTTATTTGTGTTATTTTTTAAAATATCTTTAAAAAAATCTTTAAATAGGAGTAGGAAACTAGAGGGAAGACCAATATTTTTATACCCATTTAATGATAAAGAAAATCATTATATATATATATATATATAAACATGCACAAAATATACACATCAAGTAAATTAATATTACGATGGGAGCGTCCAAATTATGACCTTAAAATAATAATTCATAAAATCTTTAAACTAGATTTAGTACATATGGGGCTTGTTTGGTTGCTATATTATAAATGGATGGATTGAATAAAGTAATACAATCTAATACATTACAAATGAATAAAAAACAAGATTAAATAAGGTATTAAATTAATACGTAATTTTATCTAGTGTTTAGTAATACACAACATAAATATTGAATAGTAGTTATGTAATATAATCAATTGTTTGGTTAAGACATTATTTCATGGTATTAATATTGAATTAACATAAATACATTCTATCAGTGTATGTTACATTAATGACAATTGAATTTTATCAGTTGAGGGGTTATAACAGTAAATGTGTAAAATAATACATTTAAATTATATTATAATACCACCTCTCTAAGTGGTATTAAAATATCTCTATAATACGTATAAAACATATTTGACAAATATACGATTAATATACATTTTTTAAAATTAAGACGATTTCAAATTTTCTTATCAAATAAAATATTATGTCTAATTAAATAAAAAATAATACAATATAATATTTAATCCCTTCCCTTTTGAATACATCTACTAAAGAAGTCCACGATGTCGTTAATGTAAACCTGTCGGTGAACAGCCCAAACATATCATGGTACAACTTTTTGATTGGCCATGCAGGTGGTGGTGTTTTTAGGGCCCATTTCGAAGCATGCTTGTAAAACAAATCAAGTATTAATTTAATAAATAATATTATTTAGACCTAAAAATTTAACTTAATTTGCTGACATAATACTGTGGCTTCAAAATAATCATTGGACTAACACCAAATTTCAATGTTTGATGGCTCCCACAGTCAATCCAAATATCATAGTGAATTAGGTCAATAAATTAAATCTCAATAATATTACTCTAATTTAATTCGACAATACTTTGACTTTGACTTTCAACTCCTATAACTCCGCCTCATCGAAGGTGGAGTGAATTTTAGAGTTGGGACATTTTTTTTGTTTTAGGGTCCAAAATAAAATCAATTGCTAAGGATGTGCAAGAGTTCGAACTTGGTCCATTTCGAACTCATACACACAATCTAACTGCATATAATATATTATTAAGGTAATTGGTTTGAATGATTATTGTATGTAAATCTCTTTCTTAATTTGCCTATAATGTCATCTTATTGTTATATACTGGGTAATTAATGGGGGTGGGTCTAACAATGGTGACGTTGAAGCAGTGGTGTTGAAGTCGTGGCCTTTGCAATGTTTGGTTGCCTCTATCAATGTTCTAGGCAGAGAAAGATTAATTTGTATTATTCCAGTATAAGTGTTCAAATTCTTAATTACCCATAAATTTTGATCTTATTCTATCTTACCTGACTCTATTGATCAGTTATCCGAAAGATTCGGGTAGGCCAACGGAAGTTTTTTCGTATTTCGCAAAAAAATTAGGTATGAATGCATAATTGTGTATTCTTTAGTATTATTGGTTTATTATATTAGTTAATTGGTGCAAATTACTTAATTAAATTGTTAAAATAATCCAAAAAATAATAACTAAAAAATATGTGTTCATCTGATTTCTTACCGGATTATTTTGGACAAAATTCAGATAGAAATAGTACACTTGATCTTGGGCTTTTTTTAAAAAATGAATTATCAGGAATGGGCCAATATTTCGTTAAAGTCCAAGTTCTTGAACTCTGTTTCCCCCACCATGTCTGGCCATTTTTGTTTGGGCCGGTTTCAGATTGCAAAGACATAAAAGAAGATTTAATGATGGTGTTTTTTTTTTTTGACCAAGATGATGGTGTTATTTAAATTGAAATATAAGGTAAAAATTTATGGCACATTTAAAATAACGGCAATTTAATTGTTTTTATTATTGTTATAGTACCCAAAAAAATGATAAAAATAGTTAACATAATAATGGTAAAAATATCCACTAATGTGATAAAAAAACACCTACAAATATGGTATACCATCTACAAAAATGATAATTTTTTTATTATAAAATAACCCTAAAAAATTATAAAAAATACCAATAAAATTAATGTAAATTGGAGGGACGATACCACAATCTTTTATTTGATACCGTAGTCAAGTTCAAATTTCTTTTATCCGGTACCCTAGCCAAGTTCAAATTGATGTAGTAGCAAAGTCTACTGAGCAAACAAGCTCCAACGACATAATATCCACGTTTGTGGGTCAATTGGTCTTTAATTTTAGGATTTGTGTATGGTATCAACAAAAATTTTGGTATTGTACCCATATTTAATCATATCTTTTAGTAATTTTATTGTTGTTGTGAGTGTTTTAATCACTATTGTAGTACCAGAAAAAAAAAAATAAAAAAATAGTTACCACAACAATAATAAAAAAATGCTCATAAATGTGAGAAATTTCACACAAAATGTTTTTTTTTTGTATTAAAGAAAAATAATAAAAATAGTTGTCACGACAGTAATAAAAATACCTACAAATGTAATAAATATTTTAGTTGTGAAATGACTAACAAAAATTATAAAAACATCCATTAAAATAATAAATTTTGAAGAAACGGTACCGAATTTTTTTTTTTTTTTTAAGGTAGAGTAATCAAGTTCTCAATTTTAATGAAACTTCTCGACCAAAAAAAAAAAAATTAATGAAACTTTACCTAACTTAGTTCTCCAAAAATCCACCTCTCAGTCCGACCACATGGATTTATGCAACTTTCCAAATAACTAAGAAAAGAAAGATGCACTTCCCAGGAAAAAAGAAAAAAAGAAAATTGGACGGCCAAAGTGCCCAACCCTAATGTAACGGCTAAGAAATGAGCTTTGCTTTAGTCCTACTTATCCCCAGTCTTGACACGTGGTGGATTACCCAATGCATGGATGCCACGTGTGCATAAAATTATCCCATTGGCTCTCTCCTTGTCATGGGTATGCTTGACTAAGAAAGTTTGGCAAAGACCGGTTCAAATCTTCTTAAATTAGGAGTCATGATTCATTCCAGCATAATTCCCATTAAAATACATGATCACCTATAACATAGAAACTTCACGAGAGTTGTGTAAGTATTAATTATTTTATAAAAATGGGAAGTTTAATTTGATAATAGATTTTCATCTAATAGGGTATCTATAATCATTCTTGACTATTATCAATCACAATATTTATACATGTTTGAGCCCTAAAGTGGTAAATTTTGGTAAATCGGACGTACTAATTTGCATTGATTCTATATTTGAGCTCTTTAAATAATATAAATATAAACTAACTCGATCAAAATTAAAATAAAAAAAGTAATTACATCAACAATCGGGGGTAATTTCATAATTATTTCTATATGAGACTATATTAATTGATAAAACAATAAATAATAGAGTTGTTATATTTAAATATTTTTAAAAGTATTCGATTACGTACCTGAAAAAATTTGGTATTATAGCTTAATTTAACACATTTTTGGTTACTTTTATTATATTTATGAATGTTTTTATCACTATCCAAAAAAATAGTTACAACAATAGTGATAAAAATTTCTAAAAATATAATAAAGATATCCACAAATGTAATAAATCTCTCACAAAATTGGTAATTTTTTTTTGTACCGGAGAAAAGTATGATAAAAATATCCCTAAAAGTGGTAAATAAACCACAAAAACAATAAATTTTTTGGTTATAAAATAACTTACCAAAAAAGAAAAAACACTCTTTAAAATAATAAATTTTAAAGGTGTGATGCAGAAATTTTATTACGGTACCGAAATTTTTTTGACAAAATACCACATTGTAAGTCGTTCTTAAATTATTTAAAATATACATAAATAATATTTTATAAAAAAAAAAATCACCCGTTCTCCCCAGCCCTCAAGTGGCTCCGCCTATGCAGAGGCGACGTTACAGTTTAATATTTTCTCACAAAATTGGGCAACCCATGTGACCAAACCTGTCAAACTCTCTCTCTCTCTCTCCACACTTTCCATGGTCTGTAATCTGCCTCTATTACAAGAGATTCACTCCATCCTCGCTACAGATTACAGGCCACTGGCGCTCCCCAACCCTCTTCCCCCACTATAAAACACCACACATAACCCACCAATCCTTCACCGCCCTCTCTCTCTGTGTTTGCATCTACACGCACAGAAAGATATTCTCTCTTTATCTGTGCAACAATGGCTCAACCATCAACTCCAGTATCGCCGCCGTTGAAGGATGAGCTAGACATTGTGATACCTACAATAAGGAATCTTGATTTCTTGGAGATGTGGAGGCCATTTTTCCAGCCTTACCACTTGATCATAGTCCAGGATGGAGATCCCTCCAAGACCATTCAAGTCCCCGATGGCTTCGATTACGAGCTCTACAACCGCAACGACATCAATCGGATCTTGGGTCCCAAGGCCAGTTGCATCTCTTTCAAGGACTCTGCTTGCCGTTGCTTTGGCTTCTTGGTGTCTAAGAAGAAGTACATCTTCACCATAGATGACGACTGCTTTGTAAGCCCTCCTCTCTCTCTCTCTCTCTCTCTCTCTCTATATATATATATATATATATACACACACACACACATATATATGTTCGAGTGTATAATGTATGCATTACCCTGAGTTTGTTGGTTGGAGAAGTGACTCGGTGTTTGAAACGGTTGAGTTCTGTGACGAGTTGGTTTCGATCTATCGAAGATCTAGCGAGGATATTTTCATGGGATCCAATTAGTCAACTTGTTCTACGAGAAAAGTCTGGGTTTCATAGATTGGGCAGAATTCTTCTAGGTCTGAGTACACCGTTTGATCGTAGACCGTCTCAGGATCTATTTTATCTACCCCAAACTGGAATAGGGAACATGGTCTAATTTGTCGGCTGAACTTTTCTATGGTGGGACCGTTACTTTCACTTATTGGGTCCCGCAGTGTAGAGAGGTCTTTGTAATTTTTAATGTTGATGTTACCCATGGCTGCGATTTTATGTTTGTTTCATTTGTTGACAGTGACCTACTCGATTGCGACGGTTTTCGTGCACGTCAAAAGTTTTTTGAGTCAAGTCACCATTAAGTCTGAGATCTGGCCAAGTTGGTCCACACATCTAAATGGCTATGGCCCCCGTTAAGTAGGTAATGGCCCACACATGAAGAAATGGAGACAAAACCTAGGAGACTACATGGTATAGATCCACAGCCTCCACTGCCGTTCCATACAAGTAAAACCTTTTATTGCCACCCACTCAACTACGGTGTTTTCGGTGCAGTATTTTTAAAAATTTATTATTTATTATTTTTATAGTTATTTTTATTATGTTGCGATAATTATTTTTATATTTTTTTTTGATATAAAATAAATTATTATTTTTATAAGTATTTTTATCATAACTATTTTTATCATATTTTTTTGGTACCACAACCCGTGATGAAATGCCCACATCAATGATAAAAGTATATATAATTATCATAAATGGAGGTATGGTATTGATTATTTTTTTTTAAGTACCATAGACAACTTCTTTATTGATAACCAAACATTTGGATTTAGTAACTTCCTTTCTTTCCAAATTTAAGTAGTTTAGACACACATAGAATGAGTAATAGGAGTTGAATTAAATTGATTTGTTTTTTCTGTGTTTTTTGGTAACATCATTCATTTATATGTAGATTGCTTCAAATTTGAACAAGACGATTGGACAATACAATTAGATATGAGTGTTTAATTGACTAAATACTGTTAAAACACTAATACTTCATTACGTCTCTTCTCTTCTCTTCAAGTGCAGGTTAGATTTGTTAGGTTTTGGGTTTTAGATTAGAGTGGTGACGAGATTCGAATGCAAGATTTCCTGCACTGATATTATTATGTTAAACTAAACATTATCTAAATATTTAAGTTGATAGAAATAGTGTAAGTTAGGCCTATCATCTGGTCTTCATGAGCCTGATAGCCTCTTGTTTTTGTTTGGTTTAAAGACTTGATGACAAAACTCCATTCTGTTTTCTCTATGTTCTGTGGTGTTTGTACATATTGAAATGGCAAAAAGGTGGCCAAAGATCCAAGTGGGAAGGAGATCAATGCGTTAGCACAGCACATAAACAACCTCCTCACTCCATCCACACCCTTCTTCTTCAACACCCTCTATGATCCCTTCAGGGACGGTGCTGACTTCGTCCGGGGCTACCCTTTTAGCCTGAGGGAAGGAGTGCCCACTGCCATCTCTCATGGCCTGTGGCTCAACATTCCAGACTACGACGCCCCTACTCAGCTCGTCAAGCCTCGCGAGCGCAACTCCAGGTTTTCTCTTCACTCGATTGCTCAAAAGTTTTTGCAAAATATAAATTAAGGATAAAGGATATTGTCAAAACAAATGATTTATTTAGCCGGTTTGATTGGATTAAGTTTCGTTTGAAAGCTTTGTTTACATTAATGTTCACTTGATATGTGCATTAATACTAGCTCACCCAGGTATGTGGATGCTGTAATGACGATACCCAAAGGCACCCTCTTCCCAATGTGTGGGATGAACCTTGGATTCAACAGGGAACTGATTGGCCCAGCCATGTATTTCGGGCTAATGGGTGATGGCCAACCTATTGGCAGATACGACGATATGTGGGCTGGCTGGTGTACCAAGGTATCTTCTTCATTCTCTTTATCCTGAAGATTAATTGTTGATTCACCTGTTCCTAATAATCGGCTTTTTTCTAATGGATTGTTAGACTGGCCGCCTTCTTATATTGAGCAATGTACATTAATTTAATTTAATTTACTTTATCCTAAGCAAGGATCAAATTTTCGTTTCGGTTTGTTCACCATAGAAATGGAAACGTTTTTGAAACACATTGAAATGCTTCGAACTATTTCGGAAATATAATAAAAAAATAAAATATTTAAGAATTATTTTTTAAAAATATTGGTCGAAATATATCAAAATCTTAAAATATCTTGAAACATTCCGAAATAATTGTATATATAAATGTATTAAAATATTATTAAACATTTCAAAATATTATGAAACACATCAAAATATTAAAATTTTAATTTTATTATTGATTCGTTTCGGTCTCCTTAGAAATATAGAAACATTTCAAAATGAAGATCCTTTCTCTTAAGTAATTTGGCCGTGGGTGGCATCTTTCGTTTGTCAGCTGGCAATCAACGATATGAAATTCTGACGTCCGAATGAAATCCGTCTTCTTCTTCTTTCGGATGTTCGAGACATGTAGAATTTGTCGGATATGTTAGGCCATGAACTGTATGGGTATTTTCACCCTCCAACTTTATAAATCCGTTATACAAACCCTGGTGTATATGTCTATTGAATGCATTTTCTCAGGTGATCTGTGACCATCTGAGTCTCGGAGTGAAGACGGGGCTGCCATACCTTTGGCACAGCAAGGCGAGCAATCCATTTGTGAATCTGAAGAAGGAATACAAAGGCATATACTGGCAAGAGGAGATCATACCATTCTTTCAATCACTTGCGCTCCCTAAAGAATGCACTAGCGTGCAGAAATGCTACATTGAGCTCTCAAAGCTGGTGAAAGAGAAGCTCGGCCCTGTTGATCCCTACTTCCAGAAACTTGGGGATGCCATGGTCACCTGGATCGAAGCTTGGGAGGAGCACAACAACCCGCCTGCACAAGCAGCATCCAAGCCCGAGCCTAATGACAAGAAGGATAAGCCTTCTGCAAAATCCAAATAATAAACACCCCTACAGTGTTATTGAGAGTTGAACTTCGGATCGAAATCTCCAGTGTTTTTTAGTGTCTTCGCTGTTTTTCATGCCTAGGTAGTATGGTTAATGTATTGAGCAAACACAATTTCGAATTAAATTTGTCATCCTACAACTTTATTTCACCAACATCAAAGAAAGACTCGGGCTATATAATACTGGTATTTTTCAATGGTGTTGATCAGAACTTCTAACATGTTTTCTTTTTTTCTTTAATTTGATTTTATAACCTGAACGTCTCCAATGCACAAAACTCTCGTTATTGCATGGTTTAAGAAGGGTTAGATATACGCACCTTTATTTTTGTAAACAGAGAGATTAGTTTTGTCGCTTGAATTATTTATCTCAATGTTACAATAGAACAACTTTATACCGTTGTGCCAAAGCCCGCTGCCCTCTAATGTTATTATGTAATCTATGGGCTAAACAGTTCAAGAATATAGGCTTTGTTGATTTATACTTTCCTAAGCTTTTTTGGAGGGATTAACATTTCCGATCTTAAATTTTTAATTTAATTATAAACCTATAAAATGAATCTTTTTGTTAATAAGACCTAAAGTTGCTATTTCAATAGCCTTACAATTGGGCTGGCGATGTTAAACTTCACCATTCCACGCCATTTGACCCATCAAGGCGTGTCAACCACACCTCCGCCTTCTATTTCAAAATGAATTACACTTAGTCAGGTACATGCGTCCTGGTACACCAATCTATTTCATTTTTGTTTCCCCCGGTGGTGGATGAACCATCATAAATTCAAGTGAAATCCACTATCTGTAAATAGATCCCTTAAATACGTCATCCGTTCTTAAATATCTGTCGTTTTACATAATTTTTTTTATTCCATAATATCTGTCATTTTATGAAATCAAAATATAATTAATATTTTTTCTTTTAAATTTATCCTTAACTTTTCAATGCATTAAATTAGGTGGAGGCTTAGTGTCTTTCATTTTTTTTTTTTTTTTCAATACGTATTGAATAAGGGTATTTTAATCTTGTGTAATTATTTTTTATTCATATTACAACTATTTAATAGCTTCCTTAATCCCTGTGCAAAAACATTAAATGACAGATATTTAAGAACGGAGGGAATACGTGAAAAAACCAACAAATAAAAATTTGTTTAGAGAAAGTATACCACAGGACATCTGAATCCCCCATTGTACAAGTGTAATAAGTCAAGAACTCCAATTTATACAATGTGAATCCCATCCTAAAATAACCTACAAAATCCAATTTTTTTTCTAAGTATTCTAGAAAAAGGAACAAAACTTCTGTGAACTTTTCTCATAATCAAAATCATGAGTTAAAAAGCAAAGAAGTATAACCTCCCAGACCAACTCTGCCTAGCTTTGTGTGTTGGTGTTTGATATGTCTTCTATTATGCCCTTCCCATCCACAGCATCAAAGAAGAAAAAATTCTTGAGGGGATCTCCTTTGCCTGATATAGCTTTAATAACTTCCTATAAATCAAATGTTAAATGGACTAATAAATTAAATGACACATTTCAAAATAACATAATTCAATTGCTAAGATGGGGCGTTGATGCTATCACCTGTCCAAGAATTCCCCCTATTATGGCACAAACAGGAGGGAATTCTGTTGTACTCGCCAACAATCTTTCTAGAAGAGAATCAGGAATCTGAGCTTCACTTGGTGACTGCAAGGACACAAGGTAGTTTAGATAACACGATGCATGGCTTGATTATATAACTGGACCAACTTTAAGTAACATACATGTGCCTCACAAAGGTCCTTCCGCAACTTTAGGACAATAGGAAGGTCTGCAGTAGAAGTTTCTCCAGGATTACGCCCCTCAGCCTCTTCGAACCTTTCAAGCACTGCCAAAAATAATCAGTTGGTAGGATCATCCAGTAAAATTGGCCATCAGAGGCCCAAGTGCAAAGAAGGAAATTGGCAACATATAATCAATAATCATATCCCAAGCACACAATCTGAATCTGGCATAAGATAAAGGAGGAGAAAGAAATACCAAATCAATAGATTTTTGTACTTCTGATGTCTGGAATTGTGGAAAGCATTATGTTTGTCCCTACCTAAGAGGACTTTCCAGCTTCCCCTTAGAAGCACAAGACCCCACTCTGAGAATAAAGATGACAAAACAGCTGAATAACTTGTAGTACCTCTCATAGCAAAGTAAAGCTTTGACAACCTCTTCGGAAGAGATCTCCATGGTATTGCAATTGCATCCTGCAAGAAAAGTATCAGGTCAAATGTCACAATTAATAACAATAAGTATGCAATTGAAGAACCTTCTCAGGAGTTCAATGTTTAGCAATTTGCTTAATTTATCTTTTTACAGCAGGTACAACTTAAGTTTAGGAAAGAATGCGGCAGGTTGCACCAGATATGGGACTATATTCCACTACTTAAAATTGATCAAATGGCTAGGACTAAGCAATTTCATCAGTCCTTTAGACAGCATAACCTAGCAGACTTGTTACATAGAGCAAATGGATAGATAGATCTCAACGTCAGTTCGCAAACAGTTGGAATCTATTGGACTGCAACAACGACTATATTTTGCATGTTCATGCTGTATAAATCTATCTATATTCATCAAGGAAAGAATGCATGCAAAGAAGAGTTGTCTTCAAAAATTCCCCTTCAACAGCCTCATGAATAAACATAGGATAATACAAAGCCAACTGAACTCAACACATAATCTGCTAAAAATTTGATGTGTCATACCTCAAAAGTGGGATACTGTAGTAGACATTCAATTGTTTCTTGAAGTTTTTTCTGTCAAAGGAGAAAAAAGGGAAAACATACAAACCATTGTTAATAAACATCAGATGAGCTAGCAAGACAGCTAAGTGCATCCACAGAATCCAAGATTCATTGAACTTGTAAAGAAGCAGCGCATCCAGAAGTGGGATGTTAAAATCTGTGAGTGAAAAGTTCACAAAAATCTAGACATTACTAGACAGTAAAAAGCCTCGCAAGAAATGTTGGCTACATATTTGACCCTCCAATCTAATATACAATCACTAATTCTGAGTAATCTTCAGAAACTTCCATAAAAACGGCAAGAGGGACCGGAAGAGACATTGCCAGAGGTACCAAGATATTGCCCCAGGCATATCTGTTATGGAAAACATATTCTATGGTACAAATATGCTCAAGAGGACCAAGTTCATGTTATAATTTATTCCACAAATCCACCTTTCTGCTAGGATTGGAACCAAAAAATGCTCGGCTGGGGTCCAAAAAAAGGACATAGCCTGATAATCTTTATTATTATGAACAGAAGAGAGGTGGGAGAGAAAGTTTTTGTGAATTTCATTAAATCACTACAACAATACAACTTAACTCCTGTCCGAGGGTTATGGACATATATCCCAATCTAATCTATATAAGCCTAACCCTACAATACTGCATTTTCTGATTATATTTCATACTCAATTCCCAATTTTATTATGAACCTTCTATGTCTCAAAAAGGTTCACATTAACCTAACCTTGGTCGCCCTACATAAAAGGAATCTATTTCAAGCAACTTAACAGATTGAAACACAGAAACTTAGGTGCAAACACACTTTCATACCCTGATATATGCCCGTATAAACACTTAAACACAAGAATGAAAGGAAAAAAGCATAAACAACCCTTAATATGCACAGAAATACAGTTGGGAGCAATAAGAGTTGGATCTGTAAACCTTGGAATAAGTGTAGTTCTGTAAATCAACNTTAATATGCACAGAAATACAGTTGGGAGCAATAAGAGTTGGATCTGTAAACCTTGGAATAAGTGTAGTTCTGTAAATCAACAAATATTTCACCACAGGAGTCTCTACAATCTACTGTATAATATGCAACACGCTTCGACAACTTGTGGCATTTTTCATTAACTGATTTCTGCAGCACAAGCAGTACGGAAGAAAAAAAGTAAACATAACATCTTGCAACGAATGTTCATTTCTGAAATTTGCACAAGATAAAGCATCTCATAGTAAAGGTAGAGTAAGTGTAGTACTTTTGTTGAGAGGGTGCAACAACTGACAACTACAACATCAAACTGGTCAAAGAAGTTTATGCCAAAGCTTGACAAATCCCCTGTAAGAACAAAGGAAAAATTGATCTTCACAGATCTTCTCGAAGAAGAAAACGATATCAAGAGGATAATTAGTTTAGCAGCCAACAAAGTTAAATACGATAGATCTAGTATAAAGTACAATACAAAAATGGACCTTTTTGTACAGAAACTCGAACCATAGGATTGAACTCCTTCAAAGAATCACAACAAAGCTCGGCGAGAGATTTCCCGCTGTACAAGCTCTCATCAGGAGGAATCAAAAATTTGCCGACAGTAATTCATCGGTCACCGGACGATCATCATTCAAAGTTAAACTACCTACTCCTGCTAGAACAATGTTCTTGCAAAACTGAACCGAACTAACATTAGCCAAATTTTAGAATTTTATATTCACTTCCAAACGTGCTGAGAAATTCATGTCATTTACAGATTCAAATATGAGAACGACTTGAAAACTACCTCAACAACAGTGCCTCTGAGTCCACTAACTAGTATATGAGATTTGCTCAGTCTAAAGAAAGCAACCAAAGTTCATAAGAAAAGACCGAATATATATATATATATATAGAGAGAGAGAGAGAGAGAGCGACGCACCTTCGTTGAGCATCAACGCCCCAAACCCTAATTTGGCGATCGTACAGAGCAGTTTCCTGCTCAGTCAATTCCTCATTGCCCATTCCCAAATTTAACCTCAGAGAGAGAGAGAGTAAAACCGTGGAGTGAAAATCAGAGTAAATGGAACGAGCTCTGCGCGCGGTGAACTGCAATCTGAAGATCAAAGTGAAGGCTGCGGCGAGAAGGGAATTGAAATCTTTCTCCAGGGGTAATTTGGTAATTATATGCATGTTTTGTGGATCATAGGTTACATAGCCGTCCAAGGTAGCAAGCCTAATCCTATAATAGTGTTCGTTTGGGGCCTGATCCACTGATCCAATTACTTCATCATGTATAAAAGTTTAGGAGTCCCAAAGAAAAATAAGTGCGATAAAACATATTGGCAGCATTTCGCTACATAGACNAATTACTTCATCATGTATAAAAGTTTAGGAGTCCCAAAGAAAAATAAGTGCGATAAAACATATTGGCAGCATTTCGATACATAGACGCCTTGACGTTCAAATTTTGACAATTTCTTAAGTCAGGTTATAAGAGATTTATTTATTATAAATATTTTAGTTTTGACATAGATGATATATCTTTGACCAGACCTGAGAGAAAATTAATCGAAATGTACATCAGTTGATCTGAACACTACTCGCAGTTGAACAAAAAAAAAAAAGCATTTAACTACATATATGACCATTAATAAACAGTCATAAGTAAACTTATTTGATGGTGGTATATATCATCCGAAACTAAGCAAATCCCGATGGATCATACGTGATTAGTAAGTGAACTGTCAATTAAATTAAAAGTTTCTTCTGGTATCATACGTGAAACTNCTAATATTTCACCACAGGAGTCTCTACAATCTACTGTATAATATGCAACACGCTTCGACAACTTGCGGCATTTTTCATTAACTGATTTCTGCAGCACAAGCAGTACGGAAGAAAAAAAGTGAACATAACATCTTGCAACGAATGTTCATTTCTGAAATTTGCACAAGATAAAGCATCNCAGCTAACCATTCTATAGTCAGCCAATGAAGTATATACAAATTCATTATCTCTTCCCTTCAATTCCTCTTAATATAGTCAACATCTTTAAAATGGGGATTATAATTAATTATTTATCTCTTATAATACTAAAATTATTTACCTATCAGATTCCATTATAAGTAAATTAGATACGATTTTTCTTTTATATTTATGGTGTATATCTTGACCCACGTGACACTGTAAAAAGTAAAAGTGGATCAATCAGAGATTAGTTAAAAAGAGGATTTGAGTTTCATCGTACTTGGAAACACTATTGTAACACCATTCATCTGTCGGTGATGCTATCAAAAAGTGAAGAAATCCAGAAAATTACAATTTTTATCTAAAAATTAGTAAGTGAACTGTCAATTAAATTAAAAGTTTCTTCTGGTATCATACGTGAAACTTGTAGTGCACCGACAACAATAATAATATGGGAACTGCCCTCTAGCCGTAGGCACAGTGAGACTGTGGGGGAAGCAGACCCATGGGTACTGGGTAGTTACCGCTTTAATGGGTTGTCCCTTGTTTTAGAAGTATGATATCTCTGGTTGATTCTCCAATCAAGGTGGAGTAATGGAGCGTGGTTTTTTTGCCTGCTAATTAAACCCGATGGATTTGGTCATGACCGTTTGCCGGCTCTTAATTGAGATTAAATACGAGTTATGAGAGAAAATATATGGAGATCCTCTTGATTATATTTTTAATTAATTTTACTTAATAATAAACCACCTATTATTAGAGAAAAGCATAAAGAGAATTCAAATGCAAAGAGAGTACGTGTTTTATACTTATATTTTTTTATTAGTCTAATGATTCTAATAAAATTATATAATTAATTTAATTTAAATTTTAAAATTTAAATATCATTACTCCATTTCAAACGGCGATGGAACGCAGAAGAAAGCAATGGGATATTAATGCTCACAAGTGCTTGGTTGGTTGTCTCCAACAAGATCTGACAGTTCATGTTAGTGCATTATGTGACTCTGAAATGGGAGTTGGCATAGTAACACTAATTAATAATAAAATATTAAATGAATAAATAAATTTTACTTTGATAGTTATTGATCTTTATATAAAAAAATAAATAATTATTGACTTACATGAATAAAAAGTTATTGGCTTGTATGGGGTTTGTTTTCTTATTTATTTATATATTAGTATTAATTAGTCATACCACGTGGCAAATGCTAATGCGACATCACCATTGTGATGAATATTTTTTTCTTAAAGGGGGTGGTTTTCTTGATGGAGTGGATTATAGTACCAAATAATTTTTTTTTAGTATTATACCCCCATTTATTATATTTATGGTTATTTTTATCACATTTGTGAGTGTTTTTATTACTGTTACAATACCTAAAAAAATCATAAAAAAAATTACCACAACAATGGTGAAAACACCCACAAAAAATGATAATTTTTTTGTAGAAAACAAAGTGGTAAAAATAATTATCACAAATATGATAAACACCCACAAAAAAAGATAAATCATCTACGGTAATGATAAACTTTTTAATTATAAAATAACTCACTAAAATTATAAAAATATATATTAAAATAATAAAAATTTAAGGCACAATACCGATATTTTTTCTTCGGTACTGTAACCATCCTTTATTGGTAGGTATTTTAACGTTGGGCCCTAAAGCAATTATGGGTAAATAGATGTGCGTGCAAGATCCTGTACAATATAAAAAATGAGAACAGATCTCTCCCTTGGTGAACTCGAGTGAGCCAGTTGAGTGACCAACCACGCTGCTCGGAACAGCCTGCGAGGTCCGGTGGTAACCTAGAACGGCAACGGGAGACCTTGGGGGAGCGGAAGAACGATCCAGTAAGACTGAAAGAGATTCCTGGAACAAAGAAGAACAAGTTAGAAGGGCGTCGGAGTGTTTTTCGGCATATTCCCTCCGACGATCTACTCAGTCTTTTAGAAAGAGAGAGGAAGGAGAAAACACTGAGTGAGTATTGTAGTAAAGAGTTTTTTGTTGCCTCCCCCGTCTTGCCTTTTGCAAGGAGTATTTATACCTCAAAAGCTCATGAATGCTGTCAGTGTAGTCAGTAGGTGATCATTAGGTACAGACNAACTTGTAGTGCACCGACAACAATAATAATATGGGAACTGCCCTCTAGCCGTAGGCACAGTGAGACTGTGGGGGAAGCAGACCCATGGGTACTGGGTAGTTACCGCTTTAATGGGTTGTCCCTTGTTTTAGAAGTATGATATCTCTGGTTGATTCTCCAATCAAGGTGGAGTAATGGAGCGTGGTTTTTTTGCCTGCTAATTAAACCCGATGGATTTGGTCATGACCGTTTGCCGGCTCTTAATTGAGATTAAATACGAGTTATGAGAGAAAATATATGGAGATCCTCTTGATTATATTTTTAATTAATTTTACTTAATAATAAACCACCTATTATCAGAGAAAAGCATAAAGAGAATTCAAATGCAAAGAGAGTACGTGTTTTATACTTATATTTTTTTATTAGTCTAATGATTCTAATAAAATTATATAATTAATTTAATTTAAATTTTAAAATTTAAATATCATTACTCCATTTCAAACGGCGATGGAACGCAGAAGAAAGCAATGGGATATTAATGCTCACAAGTGCTTGGTTGGTTGTCTCCAACAAGATCTGACAGTTCATGTTAGTGCATTATGTGACTCTGAAATGGGAGTTGGCATAGTAACACTAATTAATAATAAAATATTAAATGAATAAATAAATTTTACTTTGATAGTTATTGATCTTTATATAAAAAAATAAATAATTATTGACTTACATGAATAAAAAGTTATTGGCTTGTATGGGGTTTGTTTTCTTATTTATTTATATATTAGTATTAATTAGTCATACCACGTGGCAAATGCTAATGCGACATCACCATTGTGATGAATATTTTTTTCTTAAAGGGGGTGGTTTTCTTGATGGAGTGGATTATAGTACCAAATAATTTTTTTTTAGTATTATACCCCCATTTATTATATTTATGGTTATTTTTATCACATTTGTGAGTGTTTTTATTACTGTTACAATACCTAAAAAAATCATAAAAAAAATTACCACAACAATGGTGAAAACACCCACAAAAAATGATAATTTTTTTGTAGAAAACAAAGTGGTAAAAATAATTATCACAAATATGATAAACACCCACAAAAAAAGATAAATCATCTACGGTAATGATAAACTTTTTAATTATAAAATAACTCACTAAAATTATAAAAATATATATTAAAATAATAAAAATTTAAGGCACAATACCGATATTTTTTCTTCGGTACTGTAACCATCCTTTATTGGTAGGTATTTTAACGTTGGGCCCTAAAGCAATTATGGGTAAATAGATGTGCGTGCAAGATCCTGTACAATATAAAAAATGAGAACAGATCTCTCCCTTGGTGAACTCGAGTGAGCCAGTTGAGTGACCAACCACGCTGCTCGGAACAGCCTGCGAGGTCCGGTGGTAACCTAGAACGGCAACGGGAGACCTTGGGGGAGCGGAAGAACGATCCAGTAAGACTGAAAGAGATTCCTGGAACAAAGAAGAACAAGTTAGAAGGGCGTCGGAGTGTTTTTCGGCATATTCCCTCCGACGATCTACTCAGTCTTTTAGAAAGAGAGAGGAAGGAGAAAACACTGAGTGAGTATTGTAGTAAAGAGTTTTTTGTTGCCTCCCCCGTCTTGCCTTTTGCAAGGAGTATTTATACCTCAAAAGCTCATGATTGCTGTCAGTGTAGTCAGTAGGTGATCATTAGGTACAGGCAGTGTGCGCACTGATTCTGATGAGGAATGTCTTCTCTTCTTAACTGCTCGGGGTCCCGAGCAATCAATGCTGGGTCATCGGGATGCCGACGGTACAATGTACTCCTCTCGGGGAGGATGCAATAAATGCTCTGTATTAGGAGCATTTATTGCCTTTCATTTCCGAGCCTTACCGCATTGAATGCGGTCTCATCAAGGGAATGGTGTAATTAATCGTTTGCTTTCCCAAGTCGCGTGTCAGCAACGGCATGCGGTTTCTCTGTCTTCGATGTGATATCATACGCCACGCGTCCATCCCCCATTGGCTGTGGCCCCTGCATTCCAGTACGTTCTGACACTAATTGTGTAAGACGAGGTCATGATGAATAGTCTAGACTAGCCTAGACTAATGACATGTACGTCAATAGCTTATCGTGGAGTA